CAGGAGAGTCTCTTGCCAAAAAGTGTTGTCTCTTTCATCCTGCGTGATTCACCCAGAGAAGCACAACAAGCACAGATTCCTTTAAAATATGTGCCAGGCAAAAAAAAGAAAGCTGTGAATAAACAATCACCAGAAAAGCACATGCTTAAGAAAAAACGGGAGAGAAAAGAATACATCCAGGCTAAGGAAAGATGAGGGATGATGATATCGGCGTGAGGAACCTCTAGTAGATGTTCTCCTCGGCACCAAAGGTTCTGCCCTTGGTCCTTTCAGATCCTCCGTCTTCCCTGTCTTTGGACCATCCGGAAGAGTTTAGCAGGGGGTATAACAGATACTGCCTCGGTCACCGACAAATCCGTAAGGGCTGCCCAGGCGAGAGAGGCCTCCAAGACTCAGAGGCAACCCTTGGCCGAGACCACCAGGAGCACATGGGTTGTGGCCTCCGACGGCGACGGGTTCACAGCTGGCGGACAGGATGGGACCAGGGATGGTGACCACAACTGGAGGAGGCTGGATGGTCACCTCAGAGGGTGGGATCTGGTTGATGCAGGATGGGATAATGCCCTCCAAGGTGCCCAGGCTTCCTGAAGACTCGGCCAAGGGGAAGGGACCGAGACCCAAGCCTCTGGAGGCCAGGCCCCCCAAACCGGCAGATCCGAACCCAACGGTTGGGATGGAGGCAGAAGACGGGAGGGCACAGGAAGGTCCACAGAGAGCCATAGCGGTGGAGAGGTGACCTGAAAGAATCCAAGAGAACAACCATGGTTATATTATAATTGAAGTAGCAACATCCATGGAGAAGAAACCTAGTCATGTTCTCCATGGACCAGGTCTCACTCAGCTTCCATGTCCGTCTCCCATCAGCAAAGAGCGGGAAGAACTTTCTTTGAAAGCCCCACAAAGTTGGGGGAAGATGTTTCTCGTCTTCCGGAGACTCATCTCAACGCAACCGTACCTGTTTGAGAAGCTGAGAAGCTGAGAGGTTCTGAGGAAGCTGTGAAGAAGACCGTCCGAAGCATGGGCTTATATACTGTCAGAGGTCTCCTCCTCCATGGCCCTGATGAGGCCTGGAGCTTTAATTAGGCATTAGCAAATTGTATCATCAGCATCACTTATAACAAATTACTTTAATAACCGTGAGGATTCAGGACAAATTTGGCTTCTTTAATAACCGCATTTCCAGTTTCTTTAGAAGCTTCTGTCCCTCCGTCCCTCTCCCTCCCTTTTCCTTCCTACTTTCCTTCCTTGCTCCCTTCCTCTCTCCCTTCTTCCACCCCTCTCCCTCCATATCTCCCTTTCTCCTTCCCTTTTCCTTCCTTCCTTCCTCCCTCTTCTGTCGCTCCATCCATCTCTCTCCCTATCTTGCTCCCTCCCTTTCCTCCCTTCCTTCCTTCCTTGCTCCCTCCCTTCTTCTGTCCCTCTGTCCCTCTCCCTCCATATCTCCTTCCCTCCCTTTTCCTTCCTTCCTTCTTCCCTCACTCCCTTCGTTTCTTCTTCTGTCCCTCTCCCTCACTATCTCCCTCGCTCCATCCTTTTCCTTCCTTCCTTCCTCCCTCCCTCCCTCCCTTCTTCTGTCCCTCTGTCCCTCTCCCTACATATCTCCTTCCCTCCCTTTTCCTTCCTTCCTTCCCTCACTCCCTTCCTTCTTCCCTCACTCCCTTCCTTTCTTCTTCTGTCCCTTTGTCCCTCCCCTCCCTGTCTCCCTCCCTTTTCCTTCCTTCCTTCCTTCCTTCCTTCCTTCCTTCCTTCCTTCCTTCCTTCCTTCTTTCCTCTCCCTCCCTCCCTCCCATCCATCAGTCTGTCTTCCATGTTCCGTCCCCAAAAGCTATGGTTTATTTTCTCAACATTAATCTGGAGATCAACTAACCAGCTTCTTCTCCACTGTCAATTTTTCCCTGTGCTTCCGTTTTCCACATTTCACTTAACCTCATCATTGTATCTCTCCATGATCTCTGCACCAGACTCTAAATGAATCAGATTCAGTAGCCCCCCACAAACCCACACCATGTTTAATATTAATAATATTAGGAAGTCAATCAAAGGAAGATGCTGGTTTAAGGAATGCGAGTCAACACATTGCTCAAAGGCAGGATAAAAATGCCTTTCTCTGAATTCATATGTTTACAGGAAAGGGTGGTGGATTTTCCTCTCCCAAAACAATAAGAATGAAACAGCAAACATCAAAAGAAAAAAAGAGATCCATTTGTATAAACTTGCGGTAAAGGTCTATGATTTCAGGCAGGAATGAGCCCGAAACCTTCGTCTCCCTTGTGGCTTGTGGTGAAGTTTAAAAATAATAATAATTAAGCTTACCTAGAATCCTTGCAATCAAGGAAGCTTTGCATTTTAGCCTTTTTTTAAAATTTTTTACAAAGATCAAAGTATTTCTGAAAGCTGAGCTCATCTGAATTCTTTCCGTGAAGGGCTAAAGGCTGGGGGGGGGGGAATCAAGTTTAATTGCCCATTGTCCATCTCTTGGAAACTCAAGTTGATGTCTCAGCAACCCATGAAGAAGAGAGAAAACCTGAGCTTAATTTACATGCGACTCCTAGCCGAGTTTGTAGGAATCGTCTGCGTATATTTTTTCAGCTGACCTGGATTGTTTTCCTACTTCTGTTTTTCGTTTTTTCTTTTTAAAAAAGTGTTGAGGGTTACGCCTGCTTAGCAAACCCGATCCAATACAGGTGACTCTTCGTAGCTCAGGGTTGAACTGTGGGGGTCCTCGGTGCTCTCTGAGCTGGGTGGTTTTCTTGCAGGCGTTTCATGACCCAACTGGGGAACATCAGCAGGGCTAGAAGGGAATGGGATTTGCGGAGAGGAGGAGGAGGAGGAGGAAGACTGGGGGTCCTTTGAGTTGGGTGGTTTTCTTGCAGACATTTCATGACCCAACTAGGGAACATCAGCAGGGCTAGAAGGGAATGGGGTTTGCAGAGAGGAGGAGGAGGAGGAGAAGAATTTTAGATTTTTAGATTTTATTCAGTTGGTATGCTGCCCTATTCCCGAGAGACTCAGGGCGGCTAATAATCAGAAAGGGGAAGGGGCTACAAAGTAAAAATAAAAAGACAAACAGTTTAAAAACACACAACAGTCGTGAATAAGAGGAGGAGGAAGAAGAAGAAGAAAAAGAAGAGGAGGAGGAGGAGGAGGAAGAGGAAGAAGAGGAAGAAGAGGAGGACTGTGGGGTCCTTGGTGCTCTCTTAGCTTCCTGGTTTACTTGCAGGCGTTTCATAACCCAACTAGGTAACATCATCAGGGCTAGAAGGGAGTGGGGTTTGCAGAGAGGAGGAGGAGGAGGAGGAGGAGAACAAGAACAAGAACAGGAGGAGGAGGAGGAAGAAGAAGAAAAAGAAGAAGAGGAGGAGGAGGACAAGGATGAGGAATAAGAAAAAGAAGAAGAAGAGGAGGAGGAGGAAGAAGAAGAAGAAGGAAAAGAAGAAGAGAAGGAGGAGGACAACTGTGGGGTCCTTGATGCTCTCTGAGCTTGGCTGTTTTCCTGCAGACATTTCATAACCCAACTAAGTAACATCATCAATGCTAACAATGCCAAGTTCAAGCAATGAAACGCCTGCAAGAAAACAACCAAGTTTATGGAATTCCAAGGACCTCTCAAACCCAACCTGTTTAGGCTGGACAAACCCAGAATCGGGGTTAGTTCAGATATCCAATTTTAAAGGTGGCGTATGAATGCCACCATTGGTTTCTTCCAGTCCAAACCTCTTTTATCTATTTTTATGAGCCATGTTGGGGTCCCTGTGTTGGAACATTTTGTCCTCCAACTCCGGGAAAGAAAGCAGGGGGGGGGGGGAGAGAAATTCTGCTTAATCTCCTCCCTCAATAAAGCATTATTTTGCAATTAAAGTATTTTCAGACTCGGTAGGGAAAAATGCTACGCACGGTAGAACCGACTCTTAGCTCCAGGTGGAGGTTGAAATGCCATCCCAAAAGAAACCTTTGTGAAGAGAGGGAGAGACGGAGAAATTAAAGGATGCTAATTTTTGTGATTCACAAAGCTACCAGCTGATGACAATGAAAACGGTGGGGGGGTGATTAAAATAATTGGGGCCTTGATGAAGGCAGCGGAATGTCAGAGATGGGATAATTACGAATGAACGAAGGCCAAGGGGAGGGATTTGAAGGCATATAAAAGAACAACAGACCCTCTGCAGTTCTCAAACAGCTTCAGACCTCACCTGAACCAGGTAAGCTCGTCTCCGGCACAGCTCCAACCAACCTTTGCTGAAATTTATTCGCAACTAAACCCCGGCCGAAATTTAATTTGCGCTCTCGGGAGGAATCGTTCCCTTTCTGTTTTTTCCACGGGAGGCTCCGATTCCCCACGTTTTAGGAAGGTCTTAAAAATTCTGGGTGAATTGGGATGCTCGGCTCAGGGATGGGGATTAAAAAGATGGTGGCAGCAGTGGGATTCAAATAATTTAACAACCGGTTCTCTGCCCTAAGGGCCAGCTGGGTAGGCAGGGCTCGGTGGTCGTGTGACTGGTTGGGCGTGGCCAACTCAACATCACTCAGGTCGATGGGAGCTTCGCTTTAGTTGTTACAATGTACGGTGTTTTCCCGAAAATAAGACAGGGTCTTATTTTCTTTTGGCCCCCGAAATAAGCACTTTTGGGGAGGCCTTATTATTTTTGAGTGGCGAATGCAGTCACCTCATGGCTGCTGCTGTGTTGAAATATTTTCAGGGAGGGCTTATTATCAGAGGAGGTCTTGTTTTTGGGGGGAAAACGGGGTAATAAGGGTTTCCGGAGAGGCAGTTTCTGCAAGCAGGGCAATAACGATGAGGCTAGACCTGTTTCCCACCAAAAAGAAAACAGCGGGAGCCACAAAACCCTTCCGGTGCCTGACTATTTCCTGAGTGGCCACAAAACTAGTATATGTAGTAAATTCTGTTTTCTTCTGAGATTTTTTTTGGGGGGGGGGATTTAACCATGTTCGGCCTATTGGGGGTTGAAAAGCTCAATAAATGACCTTTCAGCGGGTGTCGCTCATTGGTGGTTGTGACGCATATTTTTGAGCAACAGGGAGCAGCAGCAGAGGGATGAAAGAGCCACATGCAGCTCCAGAGCCGCACGTCGTTGACCCCTGCACTAGGAGATTATTCTTATGCACCTATAGAAGTGATGCCCTTTAGTGTTTGGCTTTGGGCTTTCTCTTGGCCCACTAACATTTTAGAGTTTGGACACCAAGTGTCCAAAAACTGTGAGAAAGGGTGGTGGTGGGGAAAACCCCAGGAAGGAATCCCAAGGAGAAGTGAAGAAGAAGTGGACAAGGATATTGGATTGGGTTGGCCAAGGCATCTACAGATGATAATGGCCCTCCTCTATTTTGTGACCATGGTTCTCTTCTTAGCTTTCAGCTCATCTTCTTCACTCCACCACTATGGCTCTCTGTGGACCTTCCTGTGCCCTCCCCTCTTCTGCCTCCATCCCAACCGTTGGGTTCGGATCTGGCGGTTTGGGGGGCCT